GAATGTTAATGATATGTAGCTGCAGTTACTCAACCACCACGTAGAAAACTAAAGTATAAACTACATAAAAAACTAAAGTATAAATAGCATAGCACCATCAGTATACTTACTATACTATACACTAAGCTGAGTTACTAACAGCAAGTAATACATTACAATTCTACGTCGTAAAAATTATATAATATGCTTCCATCTAAACTTTATTCTATTGCATCACACGAGCATATACCGTACTATATACTGCCAACATTGAATTATATACTGTATTGCTGTAAACCAACCTATATCTTATACATTTAATATAACACTATGTATTATTCTACCCACCCTAATGTGTGTCGAAATGGTTTATTACGTCCTTCCAATGATTGCTAAGCCAGAATCCATCTTCTCGGTTAAAATTGTCTCTGTGTTTGTATATGTGGATCGCCTCATGAACGAATCTCTCATGATAGCCAGATGGCTTGCAGAGAACCTCTGTCTTGGAGAAGTCAATATCATGTGAGCCCACTGAGTTGTAACAGTGATCTGCCACGGCTGAGGTGTTTGTCCTACCGTGTTTCAGGTCAGCTTTATGTTCACGGATGCGGTCCGAGACATGTCGTTTGGTTTCCCCAATGTAACTGCTACCACAGAGGAAACTTAGTTTGTAGACGCCAGGGTACTGTATGTCTGGAACCACATCTTTTACAGACGGTACCAGATCACGGATTTTATGTACTGTGTTGAATCGGACCTGGATCTTGTGTTTAATCAGGATTTTGGAGATCTTTTTTGTGACCCCAGCAATGTAGGGTAAGGTGATGGTCTTGAAAGGCTCCTCAACAGGATCCTTCTTGATGGTTGGAGTGATGGCTTTGCGGATTGTGTAGTCGGAGTAACCATTAACCTTAAGAGCTTGGCGTACGTGTTTGAGTTCACTGGCAATGTGTTCATGGTCGGAGATGCATTGGGCTCTATGATATAGAGTCTTGATGAGGGAATTCTTCTGGGATGGATGGTGGTGGGAATCCGGTTTTAGATAAGCATCCGTATGGGTGGCTTTCCTGTAGACAGAGTGGCTCATTGAACCATCAGGTCTCCTTTTGATTAGGACATCCAAAAAGGGTAGCCTGCCATCTTTTTCGACTTCCATGGTGAATCTGATGGCTGGGTGTATGGAGTTGATGTGGTCGAGAAATTGGTCTAGAGCAGCACGGCCATGTGGCCAGATGACAAAAGTGTCGTCTACGTACCTCTTCCGACCTTATGGAAGAGGTACGTAGACGACACTTTTGTCATCTGGCCACATGGCCGTGCTGCTCTAGACCAATTTCTCGACCACATCAACTCCATACACCCAGCCATCAGATTCACCATGGAAGTCGAAAAAGATGGCAAGCTACCCTTTTTGGATGTCCTAATCAAAAGGAGACCTGATGGTTCAATGAGCCACTCTGTCTACAGGAAAGCCACCCATACGGATGCTTATCTAAAACCGGATTCCCACCACCATCCATCCCAGAAGAATTCCCTCATCAAGACTCTATATCATAGAGCCCAATGCATCTCCGACCATGAACACATTGCCAGTGAACTCAAACACGTACGCCAAGCTCTTAAGGTTAATGGTTACTCCGACTACACAATCCGCAAAGCCATCACTCCAACCATCAAGAAGGATCCTGTTGAGGAGCCTTTCAAGACCATCACCTTACCCTACATTGCTGGGGTCACAAAAAAGATCTCCAAAATCCTGATTAAACACAAGATCCAGGTCCGATTCAACACAGTACATAAAATCCGTGATCTGGTACCGTCTGTAAAAGATGTGGTTCCAGACATACAGTACCCTGGCGTCTACAAACTAAGTTGCCTCTGTGGTAGCAGTTACATTGGGGAAACCAAACGACATGTCTCGGACCGCATCCGTGAACATAAAGCTGACCTGAAACACGGTAGGACAAACACCTCAGCCGTGGCAGATCACTGTTACAACTCAGTGGGCTCACATGATATTGACTTCTCCAAGACAGAGGTTCTCTGCAAGCCATCTGGCTATCATGAGAGATTCGTTCATGAGGCGATCCACATATACAAACACAGAGACAATTTTAACCGAGAAGATGGATTCTGGCTTAGCAATCATTGGAAGGACGTAATAAACCATTTCGACACACATTAGGGTGGGTAGAATAATACATAGTGTTATATTAAATGTATAAGATATAGGTTGGTTTACAGCAATACAGTATATAATTCAATGTTGGCAGTATATAGTACGGTATATGCTCGTGTGATGCAATAGAATAAAGTTTAGATGGAAGCATATTATATAATTTTTACGACGTAGAATTGTAATGTATTACTTGCTGTTAGTAACTCAGCTTAGTGTATAGTATAGTAAGTATACTGATGGTGCTATGCTATTTATACTTTAGTTTTTTATGTAGTTTATACTTTAGTTTTCTACGTGGTGGTTGAGTAACTGCAGCTACATATCATTAACATTCCTTTCCTTTGTTACTGCTAATCCCTGCACCCCCCCCCCCCCTTGGTGCTGTTGATCCTGCATAATGCATGGGCATAATATGACTTTGAAACCCCCCCACCCACCTCCTACGCATTTTCCATGAATATGCTAAATTCCTCTTCACATGCACATTCTTTTGTTAAGGCGCTCTTTCCTCCACCTCCAACGCAGCTTATATATAAGCTCCTAGCTTGGCATTGTCTCATTCTTCACCTGAAGACGGCTGCTTGCGTTGTAGCCGAAACGTCGTGAGAATTATTTTATTTTATTATGTTTTATTTTTATTATTTTATTACTTCCCTTCTACGTGACTTTACCGAAAGAACTAAGAAGATGAATCCCTGCAGTCACGAAAGCTTTAAATCGAAATTCAGTCACCAATTTAGGTTGCCTAAAAGCCCGTCAACATTTTTGGTCGTGTAGTGACATCGGGAATGTCACTGTGGTGCCGGCCCGAGAGGGCCGTGGCGTGCGATGTCCCTCCATCGCGGACAGCACCAGGTGGGTTGCTGTGTGAGGCCGGCTCTAGCACAGCATGGCGTGCGATGCACTGTCATCGCGTGCAACCCCGTAGGCAGGTGTGGTACCAGCGCTAGCGGGGCTAGGTGCACGCTGAGTGTAGTGCGGGCTCCCACAAGGGGGAGTGAGAGAGTGTCAGCCCAGGGGAATAGTTGCCCCGGGCCATGGCACTCTGGTTGACCCCATAGACACGTGATCCGGAGTGTCCACAGAGAGGGCCTCAAGTGGGGGGTGATCACCTGTCCAGGGAGAGCTCTCAAGAGGGATCAAGAGGGAGCTAGAACGCTCGAGAAGGTGGATGGGGCCAAGGGTGGAGCGGCAACGACCCAGGGGGATATAAGGTGGATCCCCGGGAGGGACCAGGGTTCTTTGTTCTACAAGCTGGAAGCTCTACAAGGCATCAACACGTGGTCAGGGACCCGAGTGAGGGTCTGACCATTCGTAGCTGTAACTCCTACATATAGAGTAGCTAGCTGGGTGGTCACCACCCTAGGCTGTATCTGGTGAAGGGGCAGTTGCCCCTTTGTGTTAATGGGTTGATGTTAATATAAAAGTGTTGCCTCTAAAGAACGACGTCTGCGACTCAGTTGGACTCACTTCAGTCGCATAAAATTCCATCACCATTTCTGGTCGCCTAAAATCCCGTCACCAATTCTGGTCGCCTAAAATCCCGTCACCAATTCACGTCTCCGAGAATCCGGTCACCAATTCTGGTCACCTAAAATCCCGTCACCATTTCTGGTTGCCTAAAATCCTGTTAGCATTTTTGGTCGCATAAAATCCCATCACCATTTCTGGTTGCCTAAAATCCCATCACCAATTCCGGGTCACCTAAAATCCCGTAACCATTGCTGGTCGCCTAAAAGCCTGTCACCATTTCTGGTCTCATAAAATCCCGTGACCATTTCTGGTTTCCTAAAATTCCATTACCATTTTATTTTATTGTTTTATATTTTAATTATTTTATTGTTTAACTTCTACGTGACTACCGAAAGAACCAAGAATATGCCATTACCATTTCTGGTCGCCTAAAATCCCGTCACCATTTCCGGTCGTCTAAATTCCCGTCACCGTTTCTGGTTGTCTAAAATCCCGTCACCATTTCTGGTTGCCTAAAATCCCATCAGCATTTCTGGTCGCCTAAAATCCTGTCACCATTTTTGGTCGCATAAAATCCCGTCACTATTTCTGGTTGCCAAAAATCCCATCACCAATTCTGGTCACCTAAAATCCCATCACCATTTCTTGTTGCCTAAAATCCCATCACCATTTCTGGTTGCCTAAAATTCTTTCACCATTTTTGGTCGAATAAAATCCCGTCATCATTTCTGGTCAGCAACTCAAACTGTTGACTGGAAAAATTATCAGTGTGCCACCTTTAGACAACAATGGCATACGGAATGGCGGGACATACAGGTAGTTAGCAAAGACCTCGTCGGGCAACCTAACCAAACCGCTTCCTGGCCTCTCACTGCTCCGTAAGCTCTGGATATTGCACGGCCGATTCGCTCATCTCCCAAGTGCAAAATAAAAGACGGTTCCACCTCCTACTGCAGAGTGGAACAAACCATCAGGCGGCAGCACCAAAACGATCCACCAGCTTAACTACCAACGCTGTTGAGTGGCTAAAAAACAAGATATTGCTTCATAACGATCAAACAAAGACGGTCACAGTATCGCGTGTTTTCAGTTCCTCTTATGTGGCCGTCTGGAAAACTTTTTCGATATTAGGAAGCCACTGGAACAATTAATTTTTAAATCTAGATTGAAAACGAATTTCTTAAGAACTGCTAAATGTGCAAAATAAGTTCAACATACATACACATACATGACCTTTGTTACCATTCCAAAAGTCATTTGCCTATCTCTGCAACACAGCGTATGAAAGAACAAGATTTATCGACAATCATTATCGCTATGAGTTCATTAACCCTTTCATTCACCATTACAATCGTGGTGCATGACTCACCAGCTTCAGCGGATGATACGAGTAGTCTTTGTACCAGAAAGGCTGGCCGACTTGCTCGTTGGTGAGCAGCTGTTCCGGGAACACGCCGTGGAACGCCTCTCTCTCCAGCAGGTCCCTGGACTCCCCTGCCACCACCCCGATCTTTTCCAAGCATGCAGCGATGCCCACGTCTTCCGCCTTCGCCTCGTCGTTGCACGCCTTCATCTCGACGGCCTCCACGAGCTTGGACACCGCCCGCCTGCTCAGCACGTAGCCACTGCCCCCGCTCATGTAGCCCTGCTTCACGAAGTACTTGAATCTCCGCCCAAAGAAGATGGGCTGCTCCGCCGAGTAATTGGATAGCAGGAGCTTCAGGTTCTCAACGATGACGAAGGTGTCGTCTTCGGCCTTGAGCACCCAGTCAATGTCGTGGAGGTGGTGCCGGTGAACGTACTTGAAGGCGTCGACGGTTCTGCAGTATTGGTTGTGGCCCGCGGCGTCTTCCGTCCGCAAGCCGATGGTGCCGTAGACATCATCCGCCTGGGAGCTCATGAAGAGCGCCACATCGCAGCGCTTGGCCCATGACGCCTTGATGTGCGGGATCTTCTCCGGGGCACTCTTCGGATCGACCATGATCCAGCACAGCAGGCGCACTCTCTTGCTCAGCGCTTCCGCGGTGGAGTTGTCTAGGCCTGCGAACAGAGAAAGACATCGTGCGTGCAAGTCCACGTGTGACGTGATTTTAAGCCTTCGTTTATCGCCGTGTGAATTCAAAGTTGTGAATTTCCCATCAACTCACGAGGCAAACATCTATGGCTGCAGCAGACAATGCTGCAGGGAACTGGAACCAATCCAGTAGGCAACAGACACAGACTGACATTACTCCAAGCTCTACTGCTCAATAATGCATGCGTGTGTTCGTGAGCCATCACTCCCACAGTTGACCTCTGCTGAATTAAGGAAGTATTGTAAACATCCAACATGACATTCACGAAGTTAAATATGTAACACCATCAATTGCATTCAATGAGTGTTGCTATTGCCTCGTGAGACGCGACATCGTTCATTCAGTTACTCTCACAGCAAGCAGGGGGACGCCACGGCCTTGGAAGGTAACACTGCACAGCTACTTCTGTAGTCTCTTCAATAGGCCCATGTCCAAACCAGGACGCTTAATATTCCCCACGAAAAGCATCTATTGCATTACAAATTGAAATTTTAGATACATATATACACACACATACAGTAATACCCTGGTTTGTTGGGGATGCGTTCCTGAAAGGTGCGACGACAAATATTTTATTGAATGTAAATCGAAGCAGTTTATAGGGTAGTAGTGGGTTTTCCCTCTACATTAAGAAACTTGCATTTAGAGTATTTGGCTGCTATATCTTTGTAGTGTAATAGCGCTGGCTGGTGGACAGCAGCGGCAACTGTGGTGGACAGACAGTACACACGCCTGTGAGCGTGAGCACGGTGTGTGGGTAGAGCAGAGGAACTAGGGCAAGGTTCATGGAGGACCCCATCTGGAGGCCCCTGGAACCTGCTAGCGGGTTCGAGAAGGGAGCCGAGAGCGAGTGCTTGAGGCTGCCGGTTCTGGGAGTGGACTCGTCTCGTCATTGCTGTCGTCTCATCGCTGTCGTGGTTGTCGTCGCTAAATATTGCGCTACGAAGGATAGTTGTTGGCTATCTCAGTCAGCACCATCAGTGTTAGACGGCTAGTGGTGTGTACAGGCGAGGCTAAGCTACTGTGGAGAGTGTGTGGACGAGACCGTGGAAGTTGTTACTAAAGAAAGTGCCTCCTAGAAACTCTGTCTCTGAATCGTTGACACTACACATTTCCACATGATAAGCCACTTCGTTGAGCTATCATTTGTGATCGGTCGCTTTAGCCAGGTCGCTTCTGAAAAATAGCTATACAGCTCAGTGGGCCTTTTCTGGTAAAATAAAAAATAGTTTATTTGATTAAAATTTCCCCCATCAACATCGACTGTGCTAAGACCATGGGCACACTCCACTTGAGAACCCGATTCAACCTCGAGTGACTGCAACCCACACTGTCCTGATTTGCTGTGGAAAAAAATGTTCACTGCTCAGATTGAGAAGTCTAGATTCATAAACGAGAAAGTGGGTGAAAAAATGTGTGTAGGAAAGTGTGGAAGTGTGAACAACAGTGTAAACAAGTGTAAGTGTACGTAGAAAGAAATATTTAATTTAAACTCCCCCTCTGCCCCACCCCCTCTCTATTTAAGGCCTCGACACAGAGACGTTGTCTTTCCGTGTGCCTATGTGTGTGTCTCTCTCTGTTTGTCTCTGTGTGAGTCTCTCTCTGCTTGTGTGTATGTATGTGTGTCTCCGTGTCTATGTTTTGTCTCTCTCAAATTTAGCAATATTTGAAAGAACGTAATCAACCAGGTAGGGTGTTCACTATTGTGTTAGCCGACTCTGTGTTGTATTGAATTATATTTCCAAGTTTACTATGTTTGTTTTCTCATTCATTTGTACCTGATGATGGTGGCTTGTGTTGCAATCGAAACGTCGTATTCTATTATTATTTTATTTCTTTCTACATGACTTTTCCGAAAGAACCAAAGAGTAATTCCTGCAGTCACGAAAGCTTCGAATCTAGTTTGAAGTGTAATCAACAGTGTAAACAAATGTAAGTGTAAACAACAGGATGTGTTCGTAGATGGTTATTGTAGGTAGGCACCCCACACACACCTATTCAAGTCTTTTTTAACACGTAGTAGTAAATGTGTCCTTAAACCCGCCACCACCCGACACAGCCTGAGTAAGGTTTGTCACGGAAACAAAACATGCCAATTAGTTACTAGTTCAGCACACCGGTGTGTTGGAGAGTAAACCCACAACATTTACAATTCGAATACGACGCTTCGCCAGTAATTACTACTGTATCGTGTTTAACACGTAGGCTACATTGGGCGGACAGCCAGAGTTACTCGAAGTGGAAATGTTGTGAGTCTACTCACCAACACCTTAATCAAGTATAGTAGTAGCAGCACATTAGTCTTCGTTTATTCCAGAGTTACCCCCCCCCCCCCCCCACGATAAAACCGACTGCGGCGTTTTTGATTGCCCGAGCTATGAGCTGTGATGTCCAGGAGTGATCGTTGCGGACGTGCGAATCTTCGTCACTCACCGCCGCGGCTCGACGCGTCCAGGCCGTGGCCGAGGGGTCCGCCGCGGCGGCCGTCCGCCTGCGCGTGCCACCCCCTCGCGTGCCACCCCCTCGCGTGCACAGAGTAGAAGTAGCAGCAGGAGAATCCGCCGAGCCAGCCGAAGGCGAGCAACAGCCAGGAGCGTCGGCGGGCGTCCCGCGCGCACATGGCTCAACAGGGCGAGAGCGGCAGTAGCAGCAACAACAGCAGTAGCAGCAATCACGATCGCCTCCCTCCTCCCTGATCCTCCTCCTTCCCCGCCCCGTTGCACGCGCGGAGGCGACGCCTCCTCTGCTGCGCGCTGGAGGAGGTAGCGCTTCGGGCGATCCGCGAGTTGCTTTGACGGAATCGTCAAATGCCATCAATCGCGCTTACAGTTGAGATGAGAAGGTTTATTTTAAAAAGGAGTACGGGGTAACAACAACAAACCATTAGGCACGTTCGTGAGTCAAATCTAAGATGCACTGTTTCGTACCTCCGATTGGCACGGTTGGCTACGTACGGTGCGAAAGACGGTTCAACGTACATACGAAGGAGGGCCATTCTTCATAACACGTAGAGAGGTCAGAGAGAATAAAGAGATTAAAGTTGCAGACTGCACTTTACACCATGGGACCTTGGTAAGAATGACATGTTTTGATATTTTCTGATGATGTTGTTAAAATTGGCGTAGTGATGTGTTATTTAAACAGTATTACTGCATAAACTGATTTGTATTAAAAGTCGAATTGTAATATTTCGCTGGGACATTGCATTGTGGGTGATCATGTGGGAGCGTGCTCTTTAATTATCAACGTCACTCTAACCACGAGCAGCATTCTCCAACGGGTGGTGCCATTCCTGGGATCAATAATTATTTCAATTGAATCCAAGAGGCTCTCAAGGACCAAAGGGACTTTCAAATGTATCTCAAACTTTTCAATCATCGCGATTGAAAACTAATTTCTTTAGACCTGCTTTGTGGGTTCAGTTTGTTGTCATTCCCCCGCACCTCTGGTTAGCGCAGTGGCTACGTACATTGCGAAACGAAATAAGTTTAACGTACAGTACATACAAACGATCTAAAACTAGGTTTCTTTGAGTGTCTTTTATCCCTTGCCGTCCAATGTTACCGACAAAACAAATGTTATGTAAACAATGTGTGTCCCAGGAGGTCGCACGTATATACGACTATAAATGTGTAGAGTAGTATGGAGACGTGACGTCATAGGGGCCGTCCGTAAATGATGTCACACACCTAGTGGGGGGGGGTCAGACATCTGTGACGTGTGACGGGAGGGATGTGAGAAATGTGACGTCACATCAAAATGCGCAACTTTAAATAAATATGGACAACACGTTCTACTTACTTAAATATACTTTGTAATAAATGTTTTCTCCTACAACATCAGAGTGCAGCGCCACATTAAATACGCACTACAATTGACAATAGTTTAAAGCGATTTGAAGGGGGGGCGGTCTGACTTTTTGTGACGCCGTGTGTCGAAAGGGGGGGGGGGGGATAAAAAAAAATCATCCAAAATCGCGTGACGTCATTTATGGACGGCCCCATACGTACTGTGCAGTGCGATGACGTCAAGTCGCCACGGGGTACTTAAGTGGAGCCCCGTGACGAAAGCGGGGTCGTTGTGGGAGCCCGGGATGGACAGCGGTTGAAGAGACAGCAAATTATTTTGCCAAGGCGCCCTTCCCCCCTTCCAACCCAGCTTAAATATACGCTCCAAGCGTGGTGGTGTTTCATTCAGACGCTGTCTCCCCGACAGACCTGGTCTTCACCTGAGGACGGCTGCTTGCGTTGTGGCCGAAACGTCGTGATAATTATTTTATTATGTTTTATTTTTATTATTTTATCACTTCCCTTCTACGTGACTTTACCGAAAGAACCAAGAAGAGTGTCTCTTTAGCTTCGTGACTAAATGCATCGTTGCTGTACAAGCAACGCAGGTGGAGAAACCGTGACGATGTTTGAATGCCCTCTTGGTGTGGGCACGGTGCGACGATGCGTAGAGCAGGCAGCAAGCAGTGTGAACCTGTTGGTTTGCATGACAGAGCTGTGGCTCGATTATTACCTTCAATGCGACAGTCTGATGTCCAGTAAAGAGAGACTGTTCACAATTTCCAATCTGGCAATTAAAGTCACTTTGTTAATAACAAAAGACAAACTGAATGAAGGCAATTAGTTCATCTTAGGAGCAAAAGACAATGCCAATGCAGCCATCGATATCTTCCACACATAAAAGCCAGGTCTGGTGCCTGTGTGCTGGTGGAAAATGCGTTATTCTTAAGTTCATACCAACAGATTGGCATAGCTAAGGGCCCACGCGTGTAGCCATGGTCACACCACTGGTCTGGTTGTATCGGCGTCTAGTGTAGGATAAAGTAATCGAGGATGAGCTCGGGTTTGGCCAAACTCAGTCTTCTAGTCGACAGGGTCTGTTCTTCCCCGCTGTTGTTACTTAAACGGCTAAGGCCACCGCGTTATTGACAAATGTGTCCAATTTGTGAAAGTTGCGCTTTTGCGCATTTGTCAAAGCAGTTACATCACCAATAATGTGTTTGTTAAAAGGTGGTTGTTTCCGGATTTCCGTCGTGGTTGTCAAAACGGTAACCGTCTTTCCTAAAGTCAGGGCCCGGTAATAGAATCCGAGTGGGATGTTCCTCGTGAATGCAACGAGCGGAATATACACCGTTGCTTCAATTGCTGCAACCAGAGACGGGATCGAACCGACGTACTCTGGGCTGCAAGTGCAGCTGCAGGTGACCTTTGCGACAGCAACCTATGCGACAGCTCCCTTCGTGTCTCAGTTGAGAATCCAATGAGCACGTCATGGTGAGTATTCAGCTGGAGTGACACGTCTAAAGGTTCGGCCAACCGGTTTTACTGGTTTGTCTTTCTTTTCATGCGATTACCCGTACAAGGAAACAAAACCCTTATACAAACCACCTCCTATTAAAATCCAACGTTTCCGCGGTTGATATCTTGCGTCGAAACTGCCTCTGTGCTGTGGAGTCCGCCCGAAACCCATTTTGTTGTCTCTCCCTCTCTCCTATTTGCTAGATTCGTCTTCTCAAATGTCACGTTGACGGGGGGGGGGGGGGGGGGAGATTCCAACCGGTTGTTGCGAGTTCATGAATCACGGCTGTGCCACTTGAATGAGCTGCGGAGAAAATTGACAAAAATTGCCCTCCGTGAGTGGCCACAATGTTCAGTTGATTAAACGCGGTTCATGCAACACAAGGGGCCAAACAAAAAGTCCAACAGTTAAGCGGCCAGCGGCAAACAGCATTGTCAACGTCGTGATAGTCGGGAGTGAGCGCGTGTCTTGAATTGATTAATTGGCTGAAAACATCTTAAAATAAACACCCACTGCAGGACCCTGCTGACAAAGAGTTTGGCGACTCCGTGTGGCTTTCCTGGATAAATAATTAAATTAGAAGTAAAATATTCAAAGCCAATAGTTATTTTATTTAAAAGTTTACCATCTTGGCAAACACCCATAACCATAAAATATATATATATTTCCGTGTGCATCACATACATAGGGATTAAGAGCTAGAGACGAATGCAGGATAGATATAACATCAAATCGTATTCTTACCCATGATTGTTTAGAATTTGTTTAACACTGAATATGTTGCGCCCACCCCAGAGTTTTTGTCTGCCTCCCTTGAGACCACAAGGTCACGCTATAGGGGTTTGTCATGGAGACGATGAACCCATTCAGGATATCTTGGGGCCTGAGGTCCTTTGAGAAACCTCACGGGACTTCAATCCGGTGAATTGCCTTTTTATCCTTTTTATACGGTACGAGTCATACGTCCCCACACACTATGCTACGTGTTATTTTTTTTTTACTGGATGACAAACCCAGATGGTTCATTGTAATTCTCACAGCTGGAATTTTTCCAAATTCAGTGCAAACTCGAAGTTAAATGCGACGGTTAGTTTTGTGCTGCCGCCATTCACGACCAGGTTGAAACCATCAACTCACTGCACTTGAGAACCTGGTTTGATCACGGGTGGCTGCCTGCGGATTTGCTCAGCGATGCCAGGTCAAGTGTGCTGACCTCTGAACCAGCCGGCCACCTCTAGGTGTAGTGTTCATAAGCGGTGGTCATGCTGTCGAGAGAAAGGTCCCAACAGAGGGAATATGGAATTTGCCGAACGAGCTCACAGCCAGCAAAATATATGCGTGCCTGTTTGAGCAGGTAAACCAACCGATTTGACTTTTTTATAATTCTGCTAATAAATTATGTCTTTCCCCACAGCTACCTCCGCTAAATGTAATTATCTGGGCCCACGCCTGCCAAACGGCAGCGCTAAATTTAAATTCGTTGTCCTTCCCAGTGCAACAGGCGATCCATGGCTTAGATGTAACAAAACATTTTTTTCTAATCAGATTTAGAATTTAAATTCAATGCATGCACCAATGGAAGATAACCGACTGAGAAGGCACCGCGTATTGCTGCATAGGTTTGTCTGCGGTTGTGCTGTATGACCCTACAATGTGTTTTCGGGCTGTACTGCATCTTGTTCACACAAGCAACAGCAGGCAATGATTTATAATCAAGGGAGAACGTGAGCCGCTTTATTCAGTTCCTGAGGAAGCTCCCGGGCGTGTGGGTGAACGAAGCATCGGTGCGTAGAGTTCAGGGGAAGAGTAACGTACGTATGTACAGTCCGTTGAACTTCTTCCGTACCTTACGTAGCCAACCGAGCTAATCGGAGGTAACCATGGTGACTGTGCACGTGGTGGTCACTATGAGGGTGCTGATGATGAGCCCGCGTTTGTGCCCGTCTAGCGCTGCCCTCACTCCGTGACCCCCGCTGCGGTGGATGAGGCACAATTTATAGCGCAGCTTGTGGTGCAGCAGCTCAAGGCGGCTCTGTGTGATGCCATGGCAGTCGCGATCACGATGGCTATTCATATCAACTGTGGATATACTCTGCAGGCCTGTTGTGTGTAGGTGGGGGAGCGGTAGTGTAGTAGCGGTTAGCGCGCTGCGCGACGAGAACCTGGCGACCCAAGTTCGACTCCCGATCACAAACCAACAGCAGTGACGATCGTGTCAGCCGGTCCTGGACCTCCTTCTAAGTCGACTCGGCCTCAAATGATTACCTGGTGGGGCTGTGTAAAAACATCGCCACTCTAGGGAAACAAAGGTGGCCGGGCGTGGTGATGGCCACCCACCCGGTGTTTGTATGTGCTGC